TAAGCTCTTTACAGGTTCCTGCATTACAAAAAAAGAAGAATGTCACTTGGAAAGTGCAGCTCTGGTTTCAGCCTCCTGCTGACACCGCAAGGGGAGGACACAGTCCTGAACTTTCTGCCAGATGGGAACAACACATATGTTAACTTCATCACAAGACTGTTTAATGCCTCTGTTATGTCAAAATGTTCCGGGCAGAGGGTTTACTACCAGCTCTACCAATGAGGCCCCACCCTGCCCCGGTGACAATCTTGAACTCTCTTCCCCTTTACTTCCTGGGGACTCTCTCCACAGGCCAGGAAATGGCAAATGCATGGAGAGTGAGGAAGAGGGATGCAGACTCCCTGGGCAGTGGCAGGAAGACAGTTTTATTGTCTGTGCTCTGCTGCAGCACAAATTCGGGTTGGAGAGTAGTGGAGCTCAGGCTGCTGATTAAACCTTGTTCTCTCCATGGGTTTAAGCTCAGCAGATACCTAGAAGTAGGCAAGCTAGGAGTCTGCATCTTTGCTTAAATCATCCACTAGTCAGAGGAGATTCTGAGGGTGCAGAAGGCACAGACAAATGGAGTCTAGGACTCCCGTTGAGGAGGGGTGTGTGTGTCACGCACACACGCACGGGCAGGCTCGCCCTCCACTTGATGCAAAGGCATGGAGAGAGCGGCCAGAGTTCAAAACCCACACCTCAGCTTCCTCTATTGTAACTAGGGGTAGTAGAGCTACAAGATCTTTGTCCCCTTCTGGGGTGAGAGACTTTCTCTGAGGATATTTCTTTACCTACAAAATCAGGATCCTGAGATCTGCTTTCTACTTCCCAAAGACGGATCAGTCCATCCTTCTAATTGAAATTAAAAAAAAGAGACTTCCGGTCCCCTCAAATCTCTCCCATCTTTCATCTCACACATTCCTGCCTCTCACATGATGCTCTCTTACTTTGTCATCATTGCTTCCTCTGTCTGGATCTTCCTTCTTCCTTGATTGTTAGGGTTTTGTTACTATTATTTTTGTTGATATTTTAATGAAAGTTTACAGAAAACTTGGATTTCCACTTATTCGTTGTTGCACATTTTCCTCCCTACTTCCTCCTTGGTCACTTTTTAAAACTCAGCTCAGACTTCCTTTTTTCCAGAAAGGCTTCCTCAATATCTACCCAGAAGCTCGGTTCGGTGCTGCTCCTGGTTCTTAACAGAGAATCGCCACAGGTAAGATTTACGATGCACTTACTTCTCTCAGGCTCTACGCCAGCGCCAGCTCATCTGGTTGAATCTTGACTGTCACCATGTTTATGAGGTGTGGTCTTTCTGAGGCTGAGGGAAATGAAAAGGCTTGTCCCTCCCTGTGTTGAAGGGCTAGCAGGCTATGTCCAGAGAGGGACTCTGCACATCTTAGGCTCTTTCAAGGCCTAGGGAGGGGAAAAAAGGCTGAGGAGCACTGGGAAGCCCAAGGAAACCAAACTCCCTGGACCTGAATATGTGAGATTCAGATTCAGTCCTTTCTGAGACTATGATGAGAGCAGGATACTACAAGCCCATGATCCACAAAAGTCTAGTCTGCAGCCAATCCTGGGAATGACGCAGGACTGGACAGCATCTCATTCTGTTTTACACGAAGTCCCCATAAGTTGGAGACCAACTTGATGGCAGCTAACAACACGGGAGTAGAAGCTACATGCCCAATGCTCATGGTTCATAGGAGTTCTGCATACACCCAAACAGCAGACTGCCCTGCTGAGTGCTGAGTGTCCAGAAGGGGCATGAACAGATAGAGGTCAAGCCTACTATCCCTCCGCACCAATACTGCATCCATATCTGCCTATATCCACTCCAGTTGCCCCATTGAAGCTCCTGGTGACCCTCCATCAAATTTTGAGGCCGAGAAGGACATCATTCTCAGAAGGATGGAGGGACAGTACAGGAGAGGAAGACCTCAGATAAGATGGATTTATACAGTAACTGGGGCAATGGGGGTTGGTGTGTTGGAATTAGTGAGACGGGCTCAGGACAGGGTAGGGCTCAGAGCTGCTGTACATAGGGATACTATGGGTCACAGGCAACTTGATGGCACATCACAACAACAAATCTTTTGAACAAGACTGCCCATCTTTCTCCCCTAAGCAGCTGATGAGTTCAAACAGCTGATCTTTGATTTAAAACTCAACACCTAGTGCACTGTACCACCAGGACTCCTTACATCTGCTTATGGTTAAGCTTAATTTCTGCTTACAGATCATGGTCACCCATGCTAATGTGCCACTATCTGGGCCAGTCCGCTTCAGATTTTCACTCACTGAATCCTTACAACAATCTATAGGGAGGGGTAATGAAATCCATTTACAGATGGGGAAGCCAGGGGTGGGTCAGTAGTCCCACAGGGGCCTGACTTCAAAACCCTTTCGTTTCTCCACTACCTACTTCCCTTCTGTTCCTGAAGGGGCAGGGTGAAAATGTCCAGAGAACAGGTCTGTGATTCATCTCCTCACCCTGAGCCTATTGTGAAAGTCTGGGCTGGGCAAACCTTGAATCACACACAGCAGGCTTCCCATAACAGTTTATTGATGGAATTCTTCAGGGCAGGGATAATCCTCCCCCATTTTATAGCTAAAGAAGTTGGAGGTGGTGGAAAATATGAGTCAGAGGAAGAGCTGGGATTTGAACTCAGGACCCTTAAAGATCCTGTGCCAAGAAAGAGGAAGTCGCCTGCTGGGTCTGGCTTTCTCACTGGAGTCACTGGAGTTGGCAGCTTTATGGGCCTTGTAAGTCACAGGGACATGTCAGTGCCCATCCCTGCTCTAGTGATTGCTGGGGAAGCTGGGTGGCCTAACGTGGCAGGTGATAGGTTTATGGCAGATCAGGAGTGGGATCAAGGCTGGATGATAAGGCTGGGAATAGGGGCCCCACCTTGTGCAACCCTGTGATGAGCAATGGCAGATAGAGCCACTCCCTGACAACCTTCATCACAAAGCCCCAACCTCTGAGGGGCCTGAGCACATCCACGTGAAAACATACATATCCTTCGGTGTTTCTCAGAGGTGACAGCTTACTATAGCCAGACTGCCATCAGCTGGCCCCTACAACACATGGCAGGACAAGGGAACTGATGGGAGAGGTGAAGAATCACCCAGGGGGTGGCGCCCCTCCCACTTTCCTAGTCCCTAAAAGGAGCCCCAGTCCAAAGGACATTGAAGCTGGCCCAAAGATATCATTGTTCAATACCCCCCTGTACCACCTAAATATCTCCAAGCCTCTCCCTCACCTGTCAGGGGGCTGGTCTGGGGTCACAAAGACCCTCTGGAGTGGTCACTAGCTCAGGAACTCTTATCCTTCTCACCTCATTCCCCCCTGGAAGACATCTCTTTACAGCCTCTGTAAATACAAATTCACTCCCCAGAAAAGGCCCTTTACTGCCTGATGATTCACTTGGAGAGCAGTAGGCAATAGGGCCCTAACCTGGTGTGGATGCCCCCTTCCCTCCCAGCCTCTCAGTGGGATCAAAGCGGCTCCTTAAGGTCCTGTGATCCCAGGCCAAGAGGAGGGGCCAACCGGAGCTCTAACCCCTTTGCCTGGATTGTCCTTGGGGAGGTGACCCCCTTCAGAGGTGTCTAACCCAGGTTCAAAGGCCGTGGGGGCTGAGAGGTTGGCAGCGGATGGGGAAGCGGCTGGGCCAGAAAGCGGGGGCTTCCTGTTGATAGTGGAGGCCTAGGGCTCTCCCTCCACTGAGCTTCCCAAACTTAGACGCCCCACTCCTTGTGGCACACAAGGTACCTGCAGCAGTGGCTTAGGGCACAATGTCAGGGGACCACAGCCAGAAGAGGGGATACCCCATCCTGAAAGAAGGTGCAATTCCCTCCTCACTGCCACTCCATTTCCCGCCCCGCGTACTCTTCCCTCAAGAGACTTTTTCTTTCATTAGATCCCTATGCAGATTCTGGCACGTGGACAGACCCATGGCTCCATTTGGACCCTCATCTCTTTCTTTGTCCATCTACCTCCAAGGCTGGGGGCTCTCAATAGGACGCTGCCCCTCCCTGAGTCCATTCTCAAGTTGACCCTGCAGCTCCCTCCACACCCTCCCCCCACTACTCCGATTGTCAAATAAGCACCTTCTCAGCGATATAGAGGCCACTTTGCTCTAGGATGGAAGAGGGGTCTTTGGTCCGCTTAGAAATTAACTTTGAAACAACCTGGGGCGTCAACTGGAGACTCAGAGAATCTCTGACCTCCTGAGAGGTGCGGTGCGAAGCCCTCCTTCTGGGACCCCATTCAACAAAGCCCTCTGCGCATTTCTCAAGTCCCTCATCCCGCGCTCAGCGCATGCCACTTCTGAGGCCCCAGCCCAACTGGGTTCTGAGCCCCGGAGGCTTCTCCACCCACCGCCTGCGGAAGGCATGAGGGCTGCGCAGTGGTCCGCGCAGAAATCCAGAGATCACCCCCACCTCCAATGTGGCCTAAAGACTTTTCGACGTCACTTCTCGGTTCTAAAACCAGAGATGGGGGTGTGGGTAGAGCGCAAATTTGGAGCGGAGAAGACTTAGCGGGGTGGGTGAGGGGCCTGGCGCACCGGGGAGGAGAGGTAGCCTGGCGGAGAATTTCAGATCCGAGAGCGGACTGGGGAGAGGGGAGGGGCCTCCAGGGGGAGGAGCCGCTGCTACCCGCGTCCTGTGGTCGGGGCTCCCTCCCGTCGCGGCTCCGTTATAAAACCCAGCCCGCACAATCCCAGTACCCGGGGCTGCGTTCTCCCTGTGCGGCGATCCCGTTTCGCGGCGTTCTGGACCCTGCGCAGGATGTGGTTGGTGTTCACTCTCCAGTTCCTCGCTGCCGTGGGGCCCGTGGTCCTGGCAGGTGAGCGTTTGGAGGGGGCGCCCCGTGCCGGGTCCCTCTTGAGTCCCCTCTGCGTTCCCAGCCATGCACCATCCGCCGTGGTCGTTCCCAGATACGCACAGTCCGCTGAGGTCGTGCAGGTGCCCGGCCAGAGCGCGCAGCTGCGCTTCGGTGCGCGGGCTCATTGCGCATGGTGGGCGGTGAGGGTGCGGACGCGCGGGGCTGGGCGCGAGCTCGTGTGCGCACATGCGTGTCCCTTGCGGGCGCGTGGGGAGTGTGGGCACACGTGCGCGGAGCAACAGGGTGTGCGCGTGGCACAGCATCCTTGGGGAGTCGAAAACGTGAGCCTGCCACAAGGATGCTCCTTGACCCGCTTCGACGCACGCCTCCTCTTCTCGCCTTGGTCTTCCCTCAATCTGCTGGTTGGTCAACGTCGGTCCCACCGGGCCTCAGTCCTGAAGGTGCTGCCCGCCCCTCGGACAGGGGCCATTAATAGGATGTGGCGGGGTCTTTGCAGCCCCTCTCCGCTTCACCTAGTGGGGTTCCTTGTCCTGGGGGCTGCCAGCATATCCTCAGGCTCCGATCGCTTGGGGAACCTGGTGGGGGACACCCCAAGACCCGAGGTGCTGAGCAAGCCGGTCTTTCCGGCTGAGGTGATTTTTGTTTAAAGATTAATGGTGAGACCGAGCTCTTAATTATTCGCTTAGGTGGGAGGTGGCAGGAGAGGCGTGTTAATATTTGATAAGAAGCTAAAGGCGTTGCGTGCGGCTGGACACAGAGTTCGGGGGAGGCGCCTTTTCCTCCGCACCACGGGGGACCAGCTCTTCGTTAGGAAGCTCCACTGACCGGTTCCGCGGGCGCCCAGCCCAGGTCTCTCTAGGGTTTTTCACCCAGACAAAGCCTCTTCTACTTCAGCTCACCGAGTGAAGGGTGAGGGTGTGTGTCCCTTTGCAGGAGGCTCTTACCTGACTGCTTGGGGCAGAAGGGGCATTTGGCAGCAAGTCTGGGGACTCTTCTCGGGGCAAGTGCAAAGAGACAAACTAAGAAGTGAAGAATTTATTTAATTTGTAGGATTGCACGTTTGGAAACCTACAAGTAGAAATAGAAACGCTTTGCAAAAAAGGAGAAAGCTTTGCAATGAAGTAGGCGGTTTTGTAATTGTATGGCCTTAAGTCACTTCAGTTTTCTCATTTACGAAGAGGAATGGTAAGTCAAATTGCAGGAGCATTTTAAGGATTCAAATCAGAGGGGAAAAAATGTTGGCAAACAGGAACGTATGGTGGCCCGATAGCTCTGGGATGAGAGACACAGGAAATCTATCTCAGTCGGCCCCTCGTTCATGTGCTCCCCTTTTAGTCCTGTGCTTTGAGCACAGCCTGGGGCTGGAGAGAAGTCAGGCTGCATATGAAAATCCCTGGGGCATTTATTCATCTTGAGAGAGTGGGAGGTGAGAGAAGATACAGCCCCTTTCAGAACCCTGACCCCTGGTTGCAGAGTTGCCGAGACTGCCCCAGGGCATTCCTGGGTTTTTCTGTCTGGCTTCTAGGATCCCCAACTCCCTTCCCTTCTCCCTGGAGTAGAAGGGTGAGGTGAACAAGGTCGACCTAAGAGAAGCTTCTTAGGTCATTTCGGAAGAAGAGGGCTGGAGTAGTAGGTAAACAAAGAGTGAGAGACAGTGGCGGGATGACTGTTTTTAGGTCTCCAATCTCTTCTGTGGTCAGAGTAGATGGACTAGGTAGGACACTGGCTTGAAGTCAGGACCTATATGAGTAACCCTACTTCCTCCCAGGCCCTCTTGGAGGTGGCCTGGGTCAGTGGACTGCTCATTTCCGCCAGAGTAGGCTTCCTCTGAGCCAGTACTGCTTGGTGTCTCAGCCCCCTCTTATCTAAGAACCAGCCTCCCACTCTCCTCAGCCCAGGGACATAGACCTGGGCTGAGCCTCATCAGTATTTGGTTTTTCTGGTGTCTGCCTCCTGAAGAGGGTAGTTACAAGAGCATTCAGCCGAGTGGGTCAAAAGTCTCTGTGATTAAGACAGTGGATCAGAGGTCACCACTACAAACCAGGAGCGGGAGCCAGAGTTGGGAAAGCGAATTCCAAAGAACAGCGCTGCACAGACTCTGTGAGGCTGAAAGGGGACTCCACCCTTGTAGCAGTCTCCTGAGTACTTCATTTCCCTGAAATAGCTTCTTCTCAGGCATCCAGTCTCAAGCAGGGACCTGCTGGGCCATGGAGGTCCCCTGGACCTTGTAAGGCCTCAGAGGGGTGGGGACTTGGGAGGATTATAAACAAAGAACTTCTCCCAGGTGCAAATGACCTCCCCCCCCATTATCTCCCGAAGCATTTGGCCAAGGAGCTCGATGGGGTCTGGATTATCTGCGGCACCTTTGAAACTCTGAGGAGGAATGTGGAGCTCAGAGAAGTAAATCCATTCTCCTGGAGAAATGAAGCAAGGGGAAGAGTTGGAGCTGAAAGTCTGGTGAATGAACTCCAGTTTACTGGTCCACTTGCAGGAATGGGCTTGGATGGAAATCTACCAACTGTCCTTAGCTGATTTGATTCACCAGGGAATCTTCTTTTATAGTAACTCTTGGGCATTGCAGAACCCTGCCAGGGCAGGGGGTGGATTGTCATGGGGAAGATGCTGCAGGGCTCCCCATCTCTGAAGAAGCTGTGATCCAAAGATCCAGAGCTGGGACCCTTTCCTCTTGGCCTGGAGAATCCCACTCCCACCCCAACTAGAGCCTGATCTTCCCAAGACTCCCTCTCCCGCAGTCCCCACTTCAGTGGCCCCTGCCAGACTCAGGCTTGAAAGAAGGTTAGAATTGGGGGCAGGGCAAGGCTGGACAAGGGAGGGAGCAGACGTGCTTGGAGACCTCAGCCAGGCTGAGCTGGAAGCTGTACTTTTCTTAGGAATGTGTCTCCCTGATTTCCTTCCAGTCTGCTTCATTCTCTCCTTTCTCTGCAGTTCCAGACCTTCAGGCTCAGGGAGAAGCTATGATTCTTTACTAAGTGACTTGTTAAAACAACAACAAAAAACCCCTACAAAAAAAAAACCCCAAAGAAAAAAAGACATTTGACCTTTTCCGACTAGGGGAGGGGGAAGAAAATCATGATCATCAATCCAAGGCTGATTCCTATCAGCGGGAGGTCAGACATACACCCTCCCACCAACCCTTTCACCAATTCCAACACCCATTGTCTCTCCCCTACGTGACACTCCATGTCTCCTCTACTCCAGCATTCATTCTAATGACTGCACAGAAATTACAGGCCATACTCTTAGCTATGGGGTTTATTAGGGAAGTATCAAGTTCTAATTCAAGTCCAGGAATGCTCAGTTCTTCAGTCAGGACAGTCTCTTCTCAGCTGTGCCTGCAGTTAGGTCTCTCTGGCCTTTGCTCTGCTCAGGAAAGTGTTTCAAAAGCCCTTTTAGCTTTGCCTATAGGTGCAAAATTCCTTCTCTAAGTGTCCACAAATCTTGCTCCACCAAGAACTGAAAGATGGAAAGAGAGAAAGGAGGTACTCTACTTTGTCAGCAAGCCTCCTGTTTCAGCTACTGTTGTTTCTTCTCACTATCACAATTCTCTCTCTCTTTGTCTCCTGAATTGAGGAAGTTCTTGGCACAAGGATCCCAGGTCCAAAGGATACATCTTTTGCATCTCTCATCTCTTTGTTTTGTCCACCCTGCTGGTGTGGTCTTTCCCAGACATAGCAAGCACTTTTACTGGCCCCAAACAGAGGCAGAATTAGATTTTGAGACCAGGACTACAAGGTAGTGGGGGCAGAATGATAGGGCTACTCTCCTTACTGTGAGATTATCCAAGAATGGGTCTTAATAACACAGAGTGAGGAGGTGTTCTGGGTCAGGGTTGCATAATCTTTTCCACCATCTCAGATCAACTCTGGGATAGAAGCCAGGCTGAAGTTGCAGGTTCTGTTGTCCCAGGAGGGGAGGCCCTTAATCCTTCCCTCCTTTTTTGGCAGAGCCTGCTCTCCTGCATTGAGGGGAGAGAGAAGGCAGGGAGAGAGGCACAGGCAGATGACCAAACTATGGGCAGAGTCCATCCATCCAGTCCTGTGTTAGAGCTGACCAGGCTCTGAGCACTTAACTTGAGCACTGGTCATTGTTCCGCCTTGCTCTGCTCAAGGACAGTGTTCTGGGAAGGAGGGCCTGGCTGCCTCTGTCACCTCTGTCTTAATTATCTAGTAGAAATACTCCAAATTAGCAGCTGTAAAAGAAAATAAACTTTCTCATAATATCGCAGTCTGAATTCAGAGTCCTGGCTTGATCTCTTTCCATCTTTTGACTCCGGAAGGAGGTCCTTACCTTTTAAGCTGTAGTCCTTGTACCTTGGTGGTCCTCATGTGACATGGCATCTCTCTTCCCTCGCCTCTGCCCTTCTCACTTGCTTTAATCTTTTTTATATCTCAAAAGAGATTGGCTCAAGGTTGCAATTGTTGGTCTCCGTCATCTGAAGCGGAGTGAAGAAAATAAAAGGCACCTGGAAACAAGTAGTGTAAAGGATCAGTTGCTGCTGCTGGATGCTGTCAATTTAGATGTTGTTAGAACATAGTTTACTTAACTAAGACTCAGCAATCTTGAGGACAACAAATTGGAATCTTGCCCTGTCCTGATGATTAACATGCCCAAGCTCATTCACTCTGGCAGGCCATCTCATTGAGGGTCTTCCTCTCTTGATGACCCTCTCCCTTTCCCAGCATATCTTTTTCCAAGGACTTGTTCCTCCCAACAACATGCTCAATGTAGATGAGACAGTTTCATTACCCTTGCTTCTAAGAGCCCCCTGACTTGTTTGTTCTTTTGGCAATCCATGGGGTATTCAGTACTCTTCTCCAGAACCACAACTCAAAGGCATCAGTTCTTCAGTCATCCTTACTCGTTATCCAATTTTCAGATGCATAAGAAGGAATTAAAAATTCTTTGATTTGGATCAAAATATCTTAGTCTCTAAACTGACATCCTTGCTTATTTAGTACTTAGGAGAGGTCCTTGACAATAGATTTTCCCAATGCAAGAAATACATTTTTTAGTTTCTTGACTGCTGTCACCACAGATGTTGATTGTAGAGCCAAGTGAAATAAAATAATTGACAACTTCAGTCTTCTCTCATCTTCATGATGTTGCCTATTAGTCCAATGGTGAAGATTTTTGTTTCCTTGGAGTTGAGATGTGTTGCATATTGAAAGTTAAGTGAAGGCTCATCAACAACTTGTCTTAGGCAGATGATACAACTTTGCTTGCAGAAACTGAAGAAAATTTGAAGCATTTACTGAATAAGATCAAAGACTACCGCCTTCAATATGGATTACATCTTGACATCAAGGAAAGGACAGCTCAAGCTCAGCCCCCGCAGCTCTGAGACTAGAACTAGATAGTTCCAGGCTTCTTCTTGTTGCGTGCCTTCAAGTGGGAACTGTCTCTAGCTGACCCACCAGTGGAAGACTTTGAAATCTTTCTCCTGTGGAGCAGCTGTTGAATTTGAACCATGTGCCTTAGGAATGGCAGCACAACTTCTTCTTTTTTTAATTCATTGTTGTACATTCCCCTCCTCCAGCCCTATACACAAGACACTCCTTGTTCCAGATTGTTCTCATACATATAATGCATAATCATATATTCCTTTCAGACAGTTCTTCCCCTCATCTGTTCTAATGTTCTTTATCTATCTATCCACTCTTTCTCCATTCTCTCCCCAATCTCCTCATGTCTGTCCTATTTTGTAAAAGCAGGTTTATGCAGTATTTGTCCTTTTGTGACTGAGATGTTTCAGTCAGCATACTGTTCTCCAGGCTCCCCCATGTCATGTAATGTTTTACTATTTTATTGTTTTTCAATGCTGCATAGTATTCTGTTGTGTGAATGTACCATAGTTTATCTATGTATTCATTTGTTGATGGGTACTGGGCTGCTTCCTTGCTGTTGTGAATAATGCAACAATAAACATGAGTGTGCGTCAGCAAAACTTCTTACCACTAGGCCACCAGAGTTCAGTGTCTGGCTACCACTGCCAAATGTTAATGTAAAACAAAATTTCAAATCATAATATGAGTGTGCATATTGGCATGGGTTAAGCTTCTTGGTGTGATAGAGATGGGTAGAGCCCCTGAGATTGTGGCCCCTTGATACCATTCAAGCCTAGAACTGAACCCAATCCTGGGATCAACTTTCAGTCAAACAGTAGATGGCCAATAAGGTGAACAGGAATGCACTCCTTGGACTCATCAGTCCTCAAAGTTCAAGAAGGCAGTGTTTGCCAGAAGGCAGGAAGGAGAGGGGAACATGAAGAGGCAGTAAACACAGAGAGGAAGCAGGTAGAGTTTTATTAGTTGTCTGAATTGCCATCAGTGTCATAAAGCAAAATATGGATGAACTGTTGAATTAAAAACCAGTTTGCTCTATAAACTTTTACCTGAATCACAAGAAGTTAAAAAGGGAAGGGGAGGGGAAGAAAAGAGCTGGATTCAAAGACATACATTATATTAATCCTACTACCTCATTAACAGAACAGAGATAACCCATCCCAAATGGAATTATAACCATAAGTATAGAGATTAAGATTTACAACATATTTGGGGGACATAATGCAATCCATGGGGAGCTCCGGTGGCATAATGGTAAGAAGCTGTGCTGTAATCCCAAGGGCACACTGTTCAAATCCAGGGTAGAAGGATGGACAGTCTCCTTCTGTGCAGTTAACTGCCTTCAAAAACACACTGGAAGATTGGCTCTGAGTTAGTTCCAACTCAACAGCACACAACAACAAAAGAATGCACTCCATAAGCAGCCCTGATGTCCTGTGCCCTATTGCCTTACATACTGGGCAGAGGTTGGTGGTTAGATTCCGCCAGTAGCTGTGAGGGAGAAAGATGGACAATGTCATGTCCTGAAAATTCAGAGCCATAGAAACTTGATGGAGGGACCCCACGAATCAGAATTGCCTCGATGGCAGTGGGTGAGGTCAGTCCATCCATAAGAGCCCCCTTCTCTCATCCCTAAGCTTTCTTCTTAAACCTCTTTCCCTTGGCCCCTAATTCCTAGAGCCCAGGAAAGGTATCTTCTCAAGCCAAGGGAGACTTTGACCACAAGGATTTTCCCAACCTCTAATTCACACACACAAGTACACAGTTCACATGGGTTCATAAGAGCTGTGCGTGTGCACAGACACGCCAACGTGTGCATTGCCTCACCCTCTTCTCCTTTCTGCCCAGAGTCACACTGGTGCTACGACATTCAAGCCAAGGAATCCAGCTGCTTGGGTGAGTACACTGAGTCTCCTGAAGGGTCTTTCCACATGGTGGGGACTGTGCTGTTAAGATGGAGACCCAAGGTTGGTGGTAGGATAAGAGGTGATGTGATGGTCACCCTGACACATATGAGTCCCTCCCCTTTGCAAGTATGGAAAGTGCCCTGAGTCCTGTGTGTCACTTCCTGAAATAAATCAGCCACAATGACATCAGAGGGAGAAGGACATTCCAGCTTGGCTAGTAATGGACCCAGAACTAGGAGGACCCGGGAGGTGGTCTTTTTACTTTTTATTGACATTCAGACCAGTTTCCCAGCAGTCTGATTTCGCCTTGCTCCTGCTGCGTTTGGATGACTGGCCATTCCTGCCCAGCTCCTGTCCCTGCTTAACCTTGTGTGGGCTCTGCCCAGGGAATATGTCACTGCCCTCGGGCCTGGCCCCTCCTTCCCTCTGAGGGCTCTGCTGGAGGGTGAGGCAGTGGTGAGAGCCCCATGGAAGGGGTTCTGCCCATGGAAAGGTCTTTTCTTTCAGGGAATGGACACTCCACAGCTTCCAAAACCCCTCTCATTCACCTGTTTCAAACGTCAGCCTCCCTGGGAAGCAGGTGTCACCATGATTTCCATTTCACAAATTAGAAAACAGGGCTCAGAAGTGAAGTGATGTGTCTACTCAACCATCATATGACTGTCTCTGGTCTCAGAGCTCAGAGCCACCAACCAACAGACCTGCTCCCATCCTGTTCCCGAACCACAGCTGGCCTGACACATTCACTAGCTTTGCTTGTGTGTCTGTAGAGGAGGAGGACAGGGGAGGAGGGAGACAAGGAAGAAGGGAAAAAAGAAGAGGAGGAGGAGGAGGAGGGAAGGGAAAGGGGGAAGGAAGAAGAGGGGGAGGAGAATGGGGAAGAGGGAGAGGAGGAAGGCGGCTCCTGGGAGGGCGAGGGCCTTCCAGGCATCCCTAGACCGTGTCTGCATGGATCTGGGTGCTTTGGTCTAACCTCAGTGGGATGAAGAACCCACACCTCAGTACCAGGGTCCCCCAACTCTAATTGCACCCTTTCTCCCTGCAGAGCCAGATAAATGGAGTGGAAGCTGCCAGGGGAACAATCAATCCCCTATCAACATTGTCACCAGCAAGGCCCACGTGAACCACTCCCTGGGGTCCTTTTCTTTCTTTGGCTATGACAAGAAGCATTCATGGAGTGTTCAAAACAACGGGCACACAGGTGGGTCTTAGTGATCAGGTGGGGTCCTAGGTAGGCATGGGCAACGGGCTCAGGGACCCCCTTGGTACCTGAGGACTTGAGGGGAGGGCTCCTCTTGGGCTAGGGTGCCAGTGGGGGTCACACTTGTGGGGGAGGGGTGGAAACAGGGTCAGGAAAGGAACATTCTAGTAGCATTTTCATGGAAGCAGCCTGAGCAGGGGAGGGGCAGTATTCCAGGAAGAAGGAACAACTTGTGCAAAGGCGAGGAGGCGTGAAGCAGCTTGAGGTGTCCAGTGAACTGCAGGTGGTTCCATATGGATGAGGAACAAAGTGTGAAGCTGGGAGGGGCCACCTCAAGGCTCAGGGTCAGGCGAGTCACAGGGGCTGAGGCGTTTGGACATTATCCCGAGGCTGGATGTCAGGACACTGTGGCAAAGGTGAAGGCGGGCAGAGCCATAGGCCCAGTGGCATGTTTGGGGTTGTAAGGGGTGTGCAGGAGAGGGAGAGGCAGGCAGTGAGCCCAGAGAGGAGGCAGGTAAAAGTCTGGGGCTGTCCTAGCTTGTCTTTGCCCTCTAGACCCCTAGACTCCTCTCTGAACCCACAAAGAAGTTGATGTGAGTTGTAACCAACTCATAGCTGACCCTCCAGCAGGTTTTCAGAGGCAATAAATCAGATGGGAAGAGATTGCTCATCTTCCTCCCAGGGAGCAGCTGGTGGATTTGAACCACCTGCCTTTGGATTGACATTGCAACTCCTTACCACTAAGCCACCAGAGCCTCCCTGAGCTGTGAAGGGTGGGAGCAAAGATGGGATGAGTGAGACCGAGGGAGGTGTGTTCAAGGACAGTGCTCCCACACTTTCCCCCAGTGATGGTGAACCTGGAGAATAACATCTCTATTGCTGGTGGAGGACTGGCCACCAGATACTGGGCCAAACAGCTGCACCTGCACTGGTCCCAACAGCTGGACAAGGGCTCAGAGCACAGCCTGGACGGGGAGCACTTTGCCATGGAGGTGAGGCCCCTTTACACGGCCCAAGCTGGGGGGCTGGGCAGTGGGTGGTCCAGACCCTCCTGAGCCCTCTTTCCACCCCCTCTCACCAGATGCACATCGTCCATGAGAAGGAGGGCATATCAAGGAACAAGAAAGAGGCCAAGAACTCCAAAGATGACATTGCTGTGCTGGCCTTCCTGGTGGAAGTGAGCCGGGTGGAGGTGATCCCCTCCCTATTTCCAGGGGAGCATTTGAGGCTGCTTCTTAGAGACCCAGAGAGGCAGGAGGGGGCTAGTAAGATGGGGAACAGAGCTCCTCAAGGTTTCAGTGTAGAACTGCCCACTTACGCCCTGGTCAGGACGATGAACTGGAAGTCACAGGGCTTCCTACAAGGTCCCCTCAAGCGCCCTTCCTTCCCATTCTAGGCTGGCTCTAAGAATGATGGCTTCCAGGCCCTGGTGGAGGTGCTGGATGACATCCCCAAACCCCGTGAGTGGGGATAGAGAGGAGGGGAAGGCCTGGGGTGGGAAGGGAGGCTAGGGTGGGCATGCAATGGGAAAGGTTTGGTCAGAGCTTCAGAGACCCCTCCTCTCACTGACTGGATCCTCTGCCCCCACCCACAGATATGAGCACTACTATGAAGAAGAACATCACCCTGCTGGACCTGCTTCCCAAGGAGGAGAAACTGAAGCACTACTTCCGCTACCTGGGCTCCCTCACCACGCCGGACTGCTCTGAGACAGTCGTGTGGACTGTGTTTGAGGAGCCCATTCAGCTCCAGGAAGAGCAGGTACCTGGGACCTGGAGCCGGGATGCTGCTTTCTGCCTCGTGGATCCCTGGAAATTGGCCGTCTGGACCCCCCACCAGGGCCTTCTGGGCCTGGATGGGGATAGAGCCAAGGAGCTGAGATGAGTGGTTCAGTCCCGTAGGAAACAGACAAGAAATAACCCTGAAGCCTCCAGGTGGTGAGGCCTGGTGAAGGAGCCTAACAGGGTCAGAAAAGGCCTCCATGCAGGCAGTCAACTAGGGATTAGGGGCGGACCTGTGTCCCAGGGAGAGAGGGCATTGGAAGGCGGGCAGCTGTGAGACGGTCAGTGGGGCCACAGTAGAGAGAGAGGGCTTATTCATCCAATAGATCCTTACTGAGCCTTAGATGCTAGGGTCTAGGGATCCAGCTGGGAACCCAAAGGGTCCAAACTCTTGGCCTCATGGCACTTTCACTCCCTAGTTCACTCCTGGAGTCACCTCTGACTCAGCAGCCCTCCATCAGGCTTCTGAGGGTGTGAATCTTAATGGGAGTGGCCTGCTCAGCTTTCTCCCTCTGGGTCACTGGTAGACTCAACCCCTCAGAGACCCACAGCGTTTGGACTTGCAGGACAACTCTTCCCTGACCGGAGCTCCTGAAATTCCATGACTGGAGCCCTGGTAGTATAATCTGCACGGAGTTGCGCTGCTAACCTGAAGACTGTGTCATCTCTCTGGAGGTTTGAATCTGCCAGAAAGATGAGAAAACTCTTCCTGTATGATCTACAGCCTCCTAAAACTCGCTGAAGGGTCAGCTATGACTCAGTTCAGAGAGTTGAGTTGAGTTGTTCTTAAGGTGGGGTCCCTGAGTGTCAACGGCACCTGAGAAATTGCTAGAAATGCATATATCTTATTTTTGGCATATATGTTTCTTCTTCTTCTTCATTTTTATTATTATTAATTTTAATGAAAGTTTACAGAGACTTTGGATTTCCATTCATTCATTGTTGCACTCTTCTTCCTGCCCACCCCTCCCCTCCAGTTCATTCTTCTCTTTGAAAAGTAAAAGAAAAATTCTTTCATTGCTATACAATCCCTCCCTCCAAGTCCACTCCATTATGCAGCCTTTTCATTCCGGACTCCTGTCATGACAAAAAAAATACCTAATTATATATACCTTTTAAGCAGTTCTCTATCTCCTCTCTTTCAATTCAGTATACATAATTTATCCCATCTTTCTCAGTCTCCCCCTCGCCAACTGCTATGTCCGTCCCGTTTTATGGCAGTGGCACTATGCAGTATTTGTCCTTTTGTGACTGAGATATTTCATTCAGCATAATGTCCTCCAGGCTCACCCATTTTGAATAATATTGCATGAGTTCCTTGTTTTTCAATGCTGTGTAGTATTCCATTGTGTGAATATACCACAGCCTCTTTATCCATTCGTTTGTTGATGGGCACTTGGGTTGTTTCCAGCTATTTGCTATTTTGAACAAAGCCACGATAAACATGGGTGTGCATATATCTGCTTGGGTGGCGGTTATGGTTTCTTTGGGGTATATTCCCAGGAATGGAATTGCTGGGTCAAATGGTATTTCTATTGGCATAGAAATGCATATCTTTAGTCTGCACTTCAGACCTAGGAGTCAGACTCTGGAGGTGGAGCCCAGAAATCTGGGGCCCTACAAGCCCCTCTCCCCTGGGCCCCTGGTTGTCAATACTAATGATACTGTTGTAGCAACTGCTGTCAGTCTGAGAACAGTGTGCCCCATTTTCCAAGGAAATCTGAGGGGAGCTGCGGACCCTGTCAAGAACTTTCCATCCCTTGTCCTTTTTACCTGCACAACAACCTGGAGAAGCAGGGATCTGACACCCTCTATTACTGGGGGGGAGGGGTGCTCAGAGAGAGCCAGTGACAGGCCTGACTTCACACAGCAGGGAACACAGCTCCACCTGCTCCCTTACCTCCCTTCTGCAGATCCAGGCCTTCTCCCAGAAGCTGTTCTTCAACGAAGAGAAGACGCTGAATATGATGGACAACGTTAGGCCTCTGCAGCGTCGGGGACAGCGACCTGTGTACAAGTCTCAGGCCCCAGGACTGCCGCTGCCCTTGCCCCTGCCCGCCCTGCTGGCCCCCACGCTTATCCTTATGGCCAGCCTGCTCCACTGAGGCTTCTTCTGGACACCTGACCTCTGATCGTTTCTCACACTTGGGCCTGGGTTCCTTGGGGTTCCTGGGGTAGACTTTTGGGATAATTAAAATATGAATATATTTTTTTGAGAAACCTTTTCTCAGGCCTATTTTTAGTTCCCTGCAGCTACCCTGTTTCCCTTTGTTGTTGTGATGTGCCGTTGAGTCGCCTGTGACTCATAGCGACCCTAGTACAACAGCCCTAAACCCTATTATATCCTGTGTCAGTCTCACTGTCTGTGACACACCTACCCCAATTACCCCAGTCACGAATCAGTCCACCTCACAGAGGGTCTTCCTCTCCTGCCTGTCCCTCCACCCTTCCAAGCATGATGTTCCTCTCCAAGGACTGGTCCCTTCTTGCAACATGTCCAAAGTATGTCAGATGAAGCTTCAGAATCCTTGCCTCCAAGGAGCAGTCTGGTTTAACCCTCTGTAGGACAAACCTGTTCATTTTCTTAGCAGTCCATGGTATATTCAATACTTTTTTTCCAGTATCACAGCTCAAAGGCATCAATTCTCCTATCATCCCTAGTCATTGTCCAGTTCTCTGATGCATAGCAAGTGATTACAAAGACCATGGCCTGTGCCGGGTGCACCTTAGTCTCCAGAGTGACATCATTGCTTTTCAGTACTTTGGAGAGGTCCCTAATAGCAGACTTTCCCTTTGCATCACGATACATCTTTTAATTGTCTGGCTGCTGATGCCAAGAGTGCTGATTGTGAAGCCAAGCAAACTAAAGCTGTGAACAGTCTCAATCTCTTCACCATCTATCAGTTGGCCCAGTGGTGAGAATCTTTGTTTTCTTGATATTGAGCCTCAATCCATATTGAAGGCTGCAGTCCTTAACTTTCTGCAGCAAGTGCTTCAAGGTCCTCTTCAGTTTCAGCAAAGAGGGTTGTGTCGTCTGCATAATGATGAGTTGTGAGAGGATATCAAGACTATCACCCAGGAAGAGTGCAAAAGGCCATTACAAAGACAGAGGAGGAAGAAAAGACCAAAATGGAAGTCAGAAGAAACTCTGAATATTACACTAAAGAGCCGAGAAGCCAAAGCAGAAGAAAGAAATCAAGATAATGCAAAGCTGCACAGAAGATTTCAAAAGGCAGCACGGGAAGACAAAGTAAAATATTACAATGAAATGTGCAAGGAGCTGGAGTCAGAAAATCAAAAGGGCCGAACTCACTCAGCATTGCTTAAGCTCAAGGAACTGAAGGGAAAAAAATTCACACCTTGAATTGCAATGCTTAAGGATGCTTTGGGCAGAATATTAAACGATCCAGGAAGTATTAAAAGAAGATGGAAAGAGTATACAGAGTCATTGTAATGAAAGAAATTGGCAGACACAGAAGAATTTCATGAAACAACATATAAGCAAGAGCCTATGGTGATGAAGGAAGAAGTTCAGGCTGCTTGAAAGAACTGGCAAAAAATAAGGTCCCAGGAATTGATGGTATACCAACTGACACATTTCAACTAACAGATGCTTCCCTAGATGTGCTCACTAAATTGTGTCAAGAAATCTGGAGAACAACCACTTGGCCAACTGACTGGAAGAGATCTATATTTGTTCCCATTCCAAAGAAAGTTGATCTGACAGAGTGTGGAAATTATCAAACAAAATGATTAATAATAACATGCAAGCAAGATTCTGCTGAAGATTATTCCAAAACAACTGGAACAGCACATCAACAGAGAACTCCCGGAAGAGCAGGCTGGATTTAGAAGGGGTCCTGGCACTAAGGATATTGTAGCTAATGTTAGATGGATCTCCGCTGAAAGCAGAGAGTACCAGAGAAATGTCTATCTATGTTTCTTTGATTATGCAAAGGCCTTTGACTATGTGGATCATAACAAACTGTGGCTGACTCTGAGAAGTATGGGAATTCAAGAACAATTGATCGTGCTAATGTGAAACCTATACTTGGACCAGGAGGCAGTCCTCAGAAGAGAGCAAGGAGACACTGCATGGTTCAAAATTGGGAAGGGTGTACTCCAGGGATGTGTCCTATCGCCATACCTTTTCAATCTATATGCAGAACATTATCTGAGAGGCTGGGCTCTAAGAGGAGATTCCTCTTTCCCTTACCACCTCTTTTATAAGAAAAGGGGTGTAGGAAGAGTCTGGTGACTTCCTCCAGGCAGGAACCACCAGATGTCCCTACCTTTTGTCTTTGTGAATGCCTAGTCTGTACCCCTCTGTCTTCTACCGTGACCTCAGGGACATTTGGAAGACACCCAGGAGTGAACAGAGCAAAAGCCAGAGATATTCCAACTCGGACTCTGAACAGTGAAGTCCAGAAAGGATCAGCTGGCTGCAGACCACTGAGTAAGTCTGTGGGGAGCTGGCTGGAACCCCAGCCCAGTGCATTCTCACCTGCAGAAGCAGAGGGAGAGGTGGGGTAAGGCTTAGGGGAGGTCAGTGACAGCAAGTTCACAGCTTTGCTGAAATGTTTCTTGAGCCTCTAGGGGCATCTAAGCAGACTAGGGGAGATGGGAGGCGTTGGGAGGAAGAGCATCTCAGTTGAGATCAGCAAGTGCTCAGGGGCCGTCTGGAGGGACAGCTGGGGGGACAGCAGGAGGCCAGAGAAGAGGGAGGGAGAGAGGAAGGAGGAAGAGGCTGTGAGCCAGAGGGGCGGGCTGTGCTGCAGGGACTCTTGAGTGACAGAGCTGAAGTCACACTCAGAGACAGAGCTGGGGTCACGACGGCGGTCTTGTGAGGCGTGGCTGGAGAGGGGGTGAGGGCAGATGCAGCGAATAGTTAGGAAGTTTGCTGCCCAAGAATGAGGTTTGCTGGTGAGTCAGATAGAGGATGTGAGAGAGCGGAATGGAGGCTGAACACAAGATTTTTTTTTTTTAGCCGAATTAACAAAGTTTATTTCGAGTTCGAACCCGGGCTCCCGCGTGCTGACACAGCAGCATCCAGCCGAGAGCCAGAACACAGATGTTTTGACTGAGCATTTGGGACTTGTCAGATGGGTCGATCAGGTCCAGAAACCCGGGGAGGGGGGAAGGGACATAGGGCAGCCCCCAGGCCAGGGCAGGCCCCTTCCAGCTAGGGTATTCTCCCACCCCCACCCCCTGTTCCGGGCTGCTGCTTGGCCTGGGCTGGAATGGGGAGGAGCTTTGGGAAGTAGGGAGGTGCCAGTCACCAGCCCCAGGTCAGTGTGAGGACAACTCTAACAGGCTCAGCCCCCTCAAGGTGTTGAACACCCCCTTGGGAAGGTGTACATCCGGGCATCAAGAGGTTCAGTCACCCAGGTCTGTGCGGAGGTGGTGGAGGGGAGGCGTGTGGTGTTCCTCTTGTTCTGACGCCCTCAGCACCCACTCAGGAGAGGGAATAGGAATACTCCCCCTTTCTCTTCAGAGAATAATCACGCCCTGTTTTCACCAATGACCACACAGCTGTCCTGGGGGTGGGAGTGGGGTGCAGAGTGTTACCGTCTCCATGGTAACATCAGGCAGCCAGTGTCAGCAGCAGCGTTCATTCTCTCTCATTTCTCATGTAGCTTGTGTGGATCTAAGCTGTCCCGTCAAAATTCAGGACTCTCAGAGTCCAAGACTGTCTCCTCCACATCACCTGGCACCCCACTTCTTCCTCCCCTCAGAATTTACCAGTGAATGACATGACAGTAGAAACAGGGGGTTCATGGGGAGCCCTTAGCAGAAGCCCCTTGACCCTTCCCCAGTCTTCCTGACCTGGCCTTCGAGGTGTGGAATGGGCATCCAGGGCTGGGGCTCAAGTCTCCCCACCCTTTCCTTCTGCACAAGGCCCAAGCAGGTACTGCCAGCACACAGCTCAGCAAGGCCCCACCAGTCTTGTTATCCAGGGCCTGCAGGAGTGTCCACCATCCTGGCCATGCCTTGCTCCTAGTCTCCAGCTCATCCTGGTGTGGGCCTCGCCCAGTAATGACACCCCTTACCACTGATGAACGTTTCTTCTAGTTGGATGTAAACCCCACCCCCTCCACACTGCTCCCACAGTCCCGTCGTCGCCCCCCCCCCCATACCTCTTAATTCCTTGTGATAGCCAGACCTGGCTCCTGAGATAAGCCTATAGGAGTGCGGAGAGGAAGGTTAGAGAGCTACCAGTGCCCCCTTGTTCATGAAGAGGGACCAGCCTGCACATCTTGAGCTCTACTTCCATTCACTTCTGATGCCATTGCAGTGGGAGAGCACACCCAGGTCCAGACACAGTGCACTGCAGCTGGCCAGGCCTGAGGACACACCTTGCATCACTCAACGCCCACTGGCGTTGTGCTTCCAGCACAGAATACAAAGCACATTTGTTGAATGCCTACTGTGTGCTGGGTAGGGGCTGTGCCTTGTCCTTGATTTTTACTGTTGTTATTGTCAGCTGTTTTCTGATCAGTTCTGACTCAGTACTTCCCTGTATGTCCCTCATGTACAACAGAACAAAACACACCGGGGAGGGGAGAGCAGGGATAGAGTGGATAATGAACTCTCACTACACACTACCTGGGGGAATGGGAATGGGTGTGTCAGACAGTGAGATTATCTCAGGAAAGGGCAGGGTTTAGAGCGTCATAGTCACTAGGAGTTGCAGGTGACTTGAATGCACATACTGAAATAGGAGAAAGGGACTGTCTGAAGGGAATGGAGGATTAGACATTGTGTGTCTGGCAATTAACTGACAATCTGGAACAAAATGTGTATTACGAAGTGAACTGGGGAAGGGGGAGGGCAGGAAAGGTGTATCAATGAATGAATGAAAACCCATTCTTTCTGTAGACTTTCATTAAAATCACAATGAAAAAGGAGTTGTATAAAGACTTAAACCCAGGGGAGCTCTGGTGACCTAGTGGCAAGAAGCTGCACTGCAATCCCAGAGGAACACGGTTCGAATCCACCAGACGCTCTGCCGGAGAAGGAGGCGCAATATCCTCCTATACCAGTCAGATCTGATTTGACGGTACACACACACACACACACAAAGACTTAAACCCAAACAACAAAC